CCAGGATGGTCTCGATCTCTTGACCTTGTGATCCACCCGCCTCGGCCTCCCAAAGTGCTGGGATTACAGGCTTGAGCCACCGCGCCCGGCTTCAACTTAACTTTCTTCTCCCCATTCCATCTTCCATGCTTTGCTGAAATAATCTGAAACCTTAATCTAGATTACTGTGGGGGGTTTTAATCAATGGAAGGATTGCATACCTATATAGAGAGAAAGAAGTGTACTTGCATGTCTGAAAATGTATTTTTCCTTCTTTCTTTCTTTTTTTTTTTTTCTTACAAATGAAAGATAGTTTGGCTGGATATACAGTTCTAGCATCACAGTTCTTTTCCATCAGACCTGTGTAGATGTTGCACCATTGTATATTGTTTGATTAAAATTTTTATTTTGAGATAACTGTAGACTCACATGCAGCTGTAAGAAACAGAACAGAAAGATCCTATGTACTCTTTTCACAGTTTCTCATAATGATAACATTTTGTAAAACTATAATATCATAACCAGGATATTAATTTTGATACAGTCAAGATAAAGAAGGTTTCTGTCACATCAGGGATTTCTTAGAGTACATCAAGATAAGTGACCTTAAACAGTATATAACATTTTGGGATTGGCTTTTTTCATTCACCGTAAGTGTCTTGAAAGTGATCCTGATTATTACATCTATCAATAGTTTGTTTCTTTTTATTGCTGAGTGGTATTTGATGATGTGTATACTCCACAGTTTGTTTAATCATTCACCCATTGAATGATATTTGGGTTGTTTCTAATTTTAAACCATTACAGATAAAGCTGCTATGAACCTTTTTGTTGATGTTTATATGTTAACATAAGTTTTCATTTCCCTGGAATAAATGCCCAGGAGTGTAATTGTTGAGTTGTATGGCAGCTGCATGTTTAATTTTACAAGAAACTGACAAACTATTTTCCAGAGTAGCTATACCATATTATTTTCCCATCAACAAGATAAAACGCTCTAGTTTCTCTGCATTCTTGCCAGCATTCGATGTTGTTACAATTTTTTATTTTAGCCATTCTAATAGGTATATTTTAGTAATTTCTCATTGTGGCTTTAATTTCTATTCCCCTAATGGCTAATGATTTTGAACATACTTTCATGTACTTATTTACCATCTGTATATTCCCTTTGGTGAAATGTCTCTTTTGCCTATTTTCTGCTTGAATTGTTTCCTAGGGCTGCCTTAACATAAGTGCTATAAACTGGGTGGCTTAAAACAACAGAAAACCTATTGTCTCACAATTCTGGGGTGTAGTAGTCTGAAATCAAGATGTTGGTGGCCGGGCACAGTGGCTCACACCTATAATCCCAATACTTTGGAAAGCCCAGATGGGTGGATCACTTGAGTCCAGGAGTTTACGACCAGCCTCACTGACGTGGTGAAACCCCATCTCTACTAAAAATACAAAAATTAGCCAGGTGTGGTGGCACA